AGAGTTACATTAAAAACTTACATATAAAATCTCAAATAAACTAATTTATAAATTACATAATTTTTCAAAAAAATCTATTTTATATATTAAGATTTGTAGCCTAATAATGTACATCATTTCTAAAATACTAAATCATATCAAAATTTGTTTATAATCTAACAAAAACCCGCGCTTTTGAAGCGCGGGTCAAAATCTAGTAATTACTTATTAGTACATGTATTATTAATCAAAAAATTATAATAAAAGTTATTATTGAAAATGTTATGTATTATACCTTTTTGAAAATATTTTTTATAAGATAATTAGTATTAACCATTCAAATTTTTAACATAAATCTCAAATGAGAAAAATCATGTCATGAATAATAGTATAGATTATATAAATTCGGAAAACAATATTTTATAAATGTTTGTATTTTATGTTTTGGCGTATGGACCCCGACAAATAGAATAGAAGTAGGTTCTAAAATATACGCGGGCGTAGCTTAGGAAGGTTGACTTTTGCTTCCAAAGGCAAAGACTTAAAAGCGAAGGAGCCGTATCATTCGGTGACGGTTTATGACGTTAATTATGACATCACATACTCTTCTTATTGGGTCATGTGGACCCAGCCCAGGCCTTTTAAACAATCGATACACACAGACAGAATCACTGTCCCATCGATGCAGTTGATCAGTTTTATTGCATACCTGAGAAATTCCATGTGTCCTTCAAGAAAATAATTCAAATATTATATCATATTTCTTACATTGCATTTTCATCCTTTCTTTCTGTTTTTTCTTTTAATTAGTATAAAATATAAATAGTGTGACCCACACTATGCTACTTGAAAACTATGTTGGGAAAGTTACAAAAAATATGTATAGCATAGTGCTGTAATGATGATGATGTCATTCAACCTTGCTCAAAGTCATGGCTACCACCACTATTTCCCAGTCATGCGTATATATTTAAGGTCTATATTTAAACATTTCTGCACATAAATCTTGATGTGTGTATTGGAAAACTTTTAAGTTAATCCC